TATGTGTTGTGTCTACAGTGATATATGACTACAGTGTACCACAGTACCCTTCCTACAGGTATGTGTTGTGTCTACAGTTACATATGCCTACAGTGTACCATCAGTACCCTTCCTACGGGTATGTGTGTTTGTCTACAGTGGTATATGCCATCATCAGTACCCTTCCTACAGGTATGTGTTGTGTCTACAGTGATATATGCCAACAGCATACCATCAGTACCCTTCCTACAGGTATGTGTTGTGTCTACAGTGATATATGCCTACAGTGTACCATCAGTACCCTTCCTACAGGTATGTGTTGTGTCTACAGTGGTATATGCCAACAGCATACCATCAGTACCCTTCCTACAGGTATGTGTTGTGTCTACAGTGATATATGCCAACAGCATACCATCGGTACCCTTCCTACAGGTATGTGTTGTGTTTACAGTGATATATGACTACAGTGTACCACAGTACCCTTCCTACAGGTATGTGTTGTGTCTACAGTGATAGATGCCAACAGCATACCATCAGTACCCTTCCTACAGGTGTATGTTGTGTTTACTGTGATATATGACTACAGTGTACCATCAGTACCCTTCCTACAGGTATGTGTTGTGTCTACAGTGGTATATGCCAACAGTGCACCATCAGTACCCTTCACTGGGTGTGTGTTGTGTTTACGGTGATATATGCCTACGGTGTACCATCAGTACCCTTCCTACAGGTATGTGTTGTGTCTACGGTGGTATATGCCTACAGTGTACCATCGGTACCCTTCCTACAGGTGTGTGTTGTGTCTACGGTGATATATGCCTACGGTGTACCATCAGTACCCTTCCTACAGGTATGTGTGTTGTGTCTACGGTGGTATATGCCTACGGTGTACCATCAGTACCCTTCCTACAGGTATGTGTTGTGTCTACAGTGGTATATGCCTACAGTGTACCATCAGTACCCTTCCTACAGGTATGTGTTTGTGTCTACAGTGATATATGCCTACAGTGTACCATCAGTACCCTTCCTACAGGTATGTGTTGTGTCTACGGTGTATGTGCCTACGGTGTACCATCAGTGCCCTTCCTACAGGTATGTGTTGTGTCTACAGTGATATGTGCCCACGGTGTACCATCAGTACCCTTCCTACAGGTATGTGTTGTGTCTACAGTGGTATATGCCAACAGCATACCATCAGTACCCTTCCTACAGGTATGTGTTGTGTCTACAGTGGTATATGCCTACAGTGTACCATCAGTACCCTTCCTACAGGTATGTGTTGTGTCTACAGTGATATATGCCAACAGTGTACCATCAAGTACCCTTCCTACAGGTATGTGTTGTGTTTACAGTGATATATGACTACAGTGTACCACAGTGCCCTTCCTACAGGTATGTGTTGTGTCTACAGTGATATATGCCAACGGTGTACCATCAGTACCCTTCCTACAGGTATGTGTTGTGTTGTGTTTACAGTGATATATGCCTACGGTGTACCATCAGTACCCTTCCTACAGGTATGTGTTGTGTCTACGGTGGTATATGCCAACAGTGTACCATCAGTACCCTTCCTACAGGTATGTGTTGTGTCTACGGTGATATATGCCTACATCATACCATCGGTACCCTTCCTACAGGTATGTGTTGTGTCTACAGTGATATATGCCTACAGTGTACCATCAGTACCCTTCCTACAGGTATGTGTTGTGTCTACAGTGATATATGCCTACAGTGTACCATCAGTATCCTTCCTACAGGTATGTGTTGTGTCTACAGTGGTACATGTATATGCCTACAGTGTACCATCAGTACCCTTCCTACAGGTATGTGTTGTGTCTACAGTGGTATATGCCTACAGTGTACCATCAGTACCCTTCCTACAGGTATGTGTTGTGTCTACAGTGGTATATGCCTACAGTGTACCATCAGTACCCTTCCTACAGGTATGTGTTGTGTCTACAGTTATATATGCCTACAGTGTACCATCAGTACCCTTCCTACAGGTATGTGTTGTGTCTACAGTGATATATGCCAACAGCATACCATCAGTACCCTTCCTACAGGTATGTGTTGTGTCTACAGTGATATATGCCAACATCATACCATCGGTACCCTTCCTACAGGTATGTGTTGTGTCTACAGTAATATATGCCAACATCATACCATCGGTATCCTTCCTACAGGTATGTGTTGTGTCTACAGTGATATATGCCAACAGCATACCATCAGTACCCTTCCTACAGGTGTATGTTGTACCTACAGTGGTATATGCCTACAGTGTACCATCAGTACCCTTCCTACAGGTATGTGTTGTGTCTACAGTGATATATGCCAACAGCATACCATCAGTACCCTTCCTACAGGTATGTGTTGTGTTTACAGTGATATATGCCTACAGTGTACCACAGTACCCTTCCTACAGGTATGTGTTGTGTTTACAGTGATATATGCCTACAGTGTACCACAGTACCCATCCTACAGGTATGTGTTGTGTCTACAGTGATATATGCCTACAGTGTACCACAATACCCTTCCTACAGGTATGTGTTGTGTCTATAGGGATATATGCCAACAGCATACCATCAGTACCCTTCCTACAGGTATATCTTGTGTCTACAGTGGTATATGCCTACAGTGTACCATCAGTACCCTTCCTACAGGTATGTGTTGTGTCTACAGTGGTATATGCCTACAGTGTACCGTCACTACCCTTCCTACAGGTATGTGTTGTGTCTACAGTGGTACATGTATATGCCTACAGTGTACCGTCAGTACCCTTCCTACAGGTATGTGTTGTGTCTACAGTGGTATATGCCTACAGTGTACCGTCACTACCCTTCCTACAGGTATGTGTTGTGTCTACAGTGATATATGCCTACAGTGTACCATCAGTACCCTTCCTACAGGTATGTGTTGTGTCTACAGTGATATATGCCAACATCATACCATCGGTACCCTTCCTACAGGTATGTGTTGTGTCTACAGTGATATATGCCAACATCATAGCATCGGTACCCTTCCTACAGGTATGTGTTGTGTCTACAGTGATATATGCCAACAGCATACCATCAGTACCCTTCCTACAGGTGTATGTTGTACCTACAGTGGTATATGCCTACAGTGTACCATCAGTACCCTTCCTACAGGTATGTGTTGTGTCTACAGTGATATATGCCAACAGCATACCATCAGTACCCTTCCTACAGGTATGTGTTGTGTTTACAGTGATATATGACTACAGTGTACCACAGTACCCTTCCTACAGGTATGTGTTGTGTTTACAGTGATATATGCCAACAGTGTACCACAGTACCCATCCTACAGGTATGTGTTGTGTCTACAGTGATATATGCCTACAGTGTACCACAATACCCTTCCTACAGGTATGTGTTGTGTCTACAGTGATATATGCCAACAGTGTACCATCAGTACCCTTCCTACAGGTATGTGTTGTGTCTACAGTGATATATGCCAACAGGATACCATCAGTACCCTTCCTACAGGTGTATGTTGTACCTACAGTGGTATTTGCCTACAGTGTAGCATCAGTACCCTCCCTACAGGTATGTGTTGTGTCTATTTTGATATATGCCAACAGCATACCATCAGTACCCTTCCTACAGGTATGTGTTGTGTTTACAGTGATATATGCCTACAGTGTACCACAGTACCCTTCCTACAGGTATGTGTGGTGTTTACAGTGATATATGCCTACAGTGTACCACAGTACCCATCCTACAGGTATGTGTTGTGTCTACAGTGATATATGCCTACAGTGTACCACAATACCCTTCCTACAGGTATGTGTTGTGTCTATAGGGATATATGCCAACAGCATACCATCAGTACCCTTCCTACAGGTATATCTTGTGTCTACAGTGGTATATGCCTACAGTGTACCATCAGTACCCTTCCTACAGGTATGTGTTGTGTCTACAGTGGTATATGCCTACAGTGTACCGTCACTACCCTTCCTACAGGTATGTGTTGTGTCTACAGTGGTACATGTATATGCCTACAGTGTACCGTCACTACCCTTCCTACAGGTATGTGTTGTGTCTACAGTGGTACATGTATATGCCTACAGTGTACCGTCACTACCCTTCCTACAGGTATGTGTTGTGTCTACAGTGGTATATGCCTACAGTGTACCGTCACTACCCTTCCTACAGGTATGTGTTGTGTCTACAGTGGTACATGTATATGCCTACAGTGTACCACAATACCCTTCCTACAGGTATGTGTTGTGTCTACAGTTACATATGCCTACAGTGTACCATCAGTACCCTTCCTACAGGTATGTGTTGTGTCTACAGTGATGTATGCCTACAGTGTACCATCAGTGCCCATGTCATAATATTGTGCTTGATTTGAACAATCTAACCAAACTTACAAAAAGTGTATGTCATTGAACATTAAGATATCAGCATTTTTAAAAGCGTGTTTGATACATCTTGAAGTGAGTGAGTGAGTTGAGTTTTACGCCGCACTCAGCAATATTCCAGCTATATGGCTGCGGTCTGTAAATAATCGAGTCTGGACCAGACAATCCTGTGATCAACAGCATGAGCATTGATCTGCGCAATTGGGAACCGATGACATGTGTCAACCAAGTCCCTTTTGTAGCCTTGTGGTTGAAGCGTTTGCACGTCACGCATGCGCAGATGATCCGGGTTCGATTCCCCACATGGGTACAATGTGTGAAGTCCATTTTTCGTGTCCCCCGCCATGATATTGCTGGAATATTGCTAAGCGCGATGTAAAACCACACTCACTCACTCACTCACTCACTTTTTTATATACTAAAGAAATTATCAGATGACTTGGTGTTAGCAAAATGTTTGTCTGAAATACGTACATGGGTATCTCATTTATTAAATTCATAGCTATCTTACGAGTTAAAATATTGGTAAACAATATGAATCCTTTCGAAGAGGGATATATCGGGATTCGATCTGGAGTGTTTGTAAACATGCTGGAGAATTACTCATCCGGGAAGCCAACCAGTTATCTCCCTTGCCAGAAGTGACACGCTATGTACACTATATATAGTTTCTAGTTTCTAAACAAGTCGGTCCAGCTGCAATCTGAAAATGGGGGAGAAGGGTACAATGGAACAGAATATCCTGCTCTTACAACACAGTAATTATTTCTGACACTGTTGTCGGGATCATCGAAGGTGAATATAGATCTACCAACCTAAACTGAATGTAACTTTTTTGACAGATTTCACCTGCTTTCTAAAGTTTGACTAAACACCATACTTCCCAAACAGTCTCAAGGTGCTGGCCATGTTGTTAAAATGATCATCTCACCTCTTTCTATGTTTGCTTCTATTGTGTGTTACATAATGATTTGGTTTTGTCTAGTAGTGGTCCGATTAATTGAAATAATCGAAGATTGGTCGCAGTGACCAAACGACCAAGCAATTGATCATGTTTTGTAATAAATTGAACACAAACAATTTTGGATTACTTGTTTGCATTAACACTATTTTTCACTAGGTTGGTTTTGTCTGTGTCATTAAATTCACATTTCATAAGCACTACAAGTTCGATCCAAGTCATGATTGAATTTATCTTGAAGACTCCAGGAAATTTATGTCCCAAACATCAAGATGTGAAATTTGCAAATGCATTTTTATGCAAAACAAAAACCAAACTACATGTTTTTCCTTTATTTTTTGTGTGCATTAACAAACAGAACAATAAGATTTGCTATATGACGCTTTCGATGGTTGATCGGTTGTAATGAACCAATCATAAATTGTGAGATTTTAACTACTGTAAATCAATAAAATAATGCGAGCTACTTATGAATGCGAAAAATGCGACTATATCTGAAGCACATTAATAAATCTCACATTATTATATTGTCTTTTGCACTCGATATCGTTATTACTAGTATTTGGGTCACGATAACCCAGTGAACAAAGAAGAATGATTGATTCACAAAAATCCTTTATTGACACAATAACATAGACATTATATTATATCAACAAGTAAAATACATTCTGGAGAAGAAAGATTGAGCACTAATCATTTAAGTTGCATTACAGTCTTTGAATAAACAGTCTAGTTTACATGGTTTGAACTCACTGGACCACGTCCAACAGACATGCCAACTGCCATCCACGTAAGATTACCTCACGATTTCTGCCTACCTTTTTAATTGCATCCAGCGAGCATGAACAGGTTTCGTGACGCTAATCCTCAAATCAACAGGTTTGTCGTCGTCTATTGTGTTGAGATTACAAACTGAGATCATCCTGTCTACTGTCAATTACTAGTACTAACAGTTGAAAGGAAAGCCGTCTTTGATACTAACGCCCATGTGTTCGGGGAATTAAGATGTTTACACTAGAGTCGGATTAAATACTAGTATAGTATTTCCCAAAGTTGTGAGTGTAGTCATTAGTGAGTATAGTCATTCTGGTCAACCATTTCCTGATTTGCCTCCTCGCATTAATAAATACACGCATTTTCGTTTTGAGGTTTGCACTCGCATTATTTAATACACGCATTAGTTTGTTGATTTACAGTAATTCCACTAGTTTTGTCCTGGCTAGCTATCCGAGAAATGTTTTTGCAAGTCAAAGCACTTGGCGTCTGAAGCTACTGTAGGCTACTTTTTAAACGATGTGTATGACCCATAAAATATTTTAGTTGGCTGAGTATATTTGGGTATAGTATATACAACATGCAAATCAAGTATATCAGTATTACAACAGTAAATGTTATTATAAGTTGTATGCTTCTCTCTAGGGTAATACGGTCTGATGTACGCCTCTTTGTAGCAGTGTTAACCGAGCCGGTAGGCTAGGGATGACACTGCTACAAAGAGGCGTACATCAGACTGTATTACCCGAGGGAGAAGCATACAACTTATAATAACATTTACTGTTGTAATACTGATATACATGATTTATCTTACCACCATATTAAATGTACAAACTATCATTTTATTGCATTTTAAAGATCGCTACCGACTATATGACATGCAAACAAAATGGCGTCTGCCCCTCGACTGGATTTTTTAAATCAGTGAAACATATTCTGACAAGGTTAACACTGCTATAAAAATGGTTAATTATGTTTAAGTTGAGTGTGCAAAAGATTCAATGTATACAATAATTTAAATAAAGCAGTGAAAGTCGGTAAAATAAATCTGTCAATAGTGAACTCAAACACAGCTAATCGAACGGTATAACGTCATACAAATGTTAGCGATACAGCTTCTTGGCGGATAGGGGTGACACGTCATTGACCAATGAAATTAAAGTATTTCACATGAAGGTAAGATAAAATGTTATATTCACATGAGAAGGTGTGTAAAACAGCTGACCGGTAAAATCCGGAAACATGTTTTTTGTTAATGTGATATATACAGTGAAAGTTACTCACCTATTATGAATTCTCTGGTACCTTATAGGGAAGGTCTTATAAGGTCGAAGCAACACTTGTCAGTCTACCCAACTTTGGGTCAAACCGTGTAGGACTATTTGTTCATTGTATGACATCTTGTATGACATTGTATGTATGTTATCGACATATTGTGTCTACAGTGATCTATATGAGGTAGAATTAATTCCTACAGGTGCACATTGTATCTACAGTGGTCTTTTCGAGGTAGGACTACTTCCTACAGGTGTATATTGTGTGAACAGTGATCTAAACGAGATAGGACTACTTCCTACAAGTATATATTGTGTCTATAGCAGGGGTTCAGAAATCCCATCGCCCGATGCCCGGGACAAGTCAGTTTTCATTTCGGGCAATCAAATAATGGTATCTTACTTGTCCGTGGGCTTCTAGATTATCTCTGCTCATGGTTTCAAACTGCAAATAAACTTGGATATCATTTCATATCTGCTCAAAATGTAGCTATTACATTTTGCAATGATAATTAAGTAGAGTTATACTTCTTTGCCATTTATCACTTCTCGATAAATAGTCCAGTGAACATTAACATCAAATACCATGTTGATTTATTCTTTCAAAATTACATCATCATGATTATGTCATAACAATCAGGGCAAGTAGAAACTTAGCTAGGACAAGTTGCTTTCTTAAAGTCACTTGCCCTGTGGTAAGTGGTTTTAAATTTTTTTGAACCCCTGCTATGGTGATCTATACGAGGTAATACTGATTCCTATATGTGGTAGTACTAATTCCTTCAGATGTACACTTTCTACAGTGATATATAAACCAGGTAGTATTAATTCCTACAAGAATGTTGTGTCTGCAGTGATCTATATGTGGTAGTATTAATTCCTACAAGTATATTGTGTCTACAGTGGTCTATACGTGGTAGTATTAATTCCTACAAGTATATTGTGTCTGCAGTGGTCTATACGTGGTAGTATTAATTCCTACAAGTATATTGTGTCTGCAGTGATCTATACGTGGTAGTATTAATTCCTACAGTATATTGTGTCTGCAGTGGTCTATACTTGGTAGTATTAATTCCTACAAGTATATTGTGTCTGCAGTGATCTATACGTGGTAGTATTAATTCCTACAGTATATTGTGTCTGAAGTGGTCTATACGTGGTAGTATTAATTCCTACAAGTATATTGTGTCTGCAGTGATCTATACGTGGTAGTATTAATTCCTACAGTATATTGTGTCTGCAGTGGTCTATCATTGGTAGTATTAATTCCTACAAGTATATTGTGTCTGCAGTGATCTATACGTGGTAGTATTAATTCCTACAGTATATTGTGTCTGAAGTGGTCTATACTTGGTAGTATTAATTCCTACAAGTATGTTGTGTCTGCAGTGGTCTATACATGGTAGTATTAATTCCTACAAGTATATTGCCAGTCTTACAGTGGTCTATCATTCCTGGTAGTATTAATTCCTACAGGTATATATGTGTCTGCAGTGGTCTATACTGGTGGTCTACAAGTATATTGTGGTATATGATAATTCCTACTAAGTATATTGTTGTCTGCAGTGGTCTATCGTGGTAGTGATGATTCCTACAAGTATGTTGTGTCTGCAGTGGTCTATCGTGGTAGTATTAATTCCTACAAGTATATTGTGTCTGCAGTGGTCTATCGTGGTAGTATTAATTCCTACAAGTATATTGTGTCTACAGTGGTCTATCATTGGTAGTATTAATTCCTACAAGGTATGTTGTGTCTGCAGTGGTCTATCGTGGTAGTATTAATTCCTACAAGTATATTGTGTCTGCAGTGGTCTATCATTGGTAGTATTAATTCCTACAAGTATATTATTGTCTGCAGTGGTCTATATGGTGGTATTAATTCCTACAAGTATGTGTTCCTGTATGTCTATCGTGGTAGTGTTGATGTATATTGTGTTAGTCTACAGGTATGTTATTGTGGTACTTAATTCCTCAAGGATCTATCGTGGTGAGTATTAATTCCTACAGTATTCTCTACAAGTATGTTGTGTCTGCAGTGGTCTATCGTGGTAGTATTAATTCCTACAAGTATATTGTGTCTACAGTGGTCTATCATTGGTAGTATTAATTCCTACAAAGTATATTGTGTCTGCAGTGGTCTATCGTGGTGGTAGATATTAATTCCTACAAGTATATTGTGTCTATACAGTATTAATTCTATCATTGGTAGTATTGATTCCTACGCAGGTATGTAATTGTCAGCATATTGGTCTACAGTGGTATTAGTATTAATTCTCTACAAGTATATTGTGTCTGCAGTGGTCTATATGTGGTAGTATTAATTCCTACAAGTATATTGTGTCTGCACTTTGGTATCTATCGTGGTAGTATTGATTCCTACAAGTATATTGTGTCTGCAGAGTGTGGATCTATGCATTGGTAGTATTAATTCCTACAAGTATATTGTGTCTGCAGTGGTCTATCGCATGGTAGTATTAATTCCAAGTAAGTATATTGTGTCTGCAGTGGTCTATACATGCGTGGTAGTATTAATTCCTACAAGTATGTTGTGTCTGCAGTGGTCTATCTATTAATTCCTGGTAGTATCTAATTCCTACAAGTATATTGTGTCTGCAGTGGTCTATACATGGTAGTATTAATTCCTACAAGTATATTGTGTCTGCAGTGGTCTATACGTGGTAGTATTAATTCCTACAAGTATATTGTGTCTGCAGTGGTCTATACGTGGTAGTATTAATTCCTACAAGTATATTGTGTCTGCAGTGGTCTATACGTGGTAGTATTAATTCCTACAAGTATATTGTGTCTGCAGTGGATCTATACGTGGTAGTATTAATTCCTACAAGTATATTGTGTCTGCAGTGTATGTTGTCTCTATCATTGGTAGTATTAATTCCTACAAGTATATTGTGTCTGCAGTGGTCTATCGTGGTAGTATTAATTCCTACAAGTATGTTGTGTCTGCAGTGGTCTATACATTGGTAGTATTAATTCCTACAAGTATGTTATTGTCTGCAGTGGTCTATATACATTGGTAGTATTAATTCCTACAAGTATATTGTGTCTGCAGTGGTCTATAATGGTAGTATTAATTCCTACAAGTATATTGTGTCTGCAGTGGTCTATCGTGGTAGTATTAATTCCTACAAGTATATTATTGTCTGCAGTGGTCTATGCATTGGTAGTATTAATTCCTACAAGTATATTGTGTCTGCAGTGGTCTATACGTGGTAGTATTAATTCCTACAAGTATATTGTGTCTGCAGTGGTCTATACGTGGTAGTATTAATTCCTACAAGTATATTGTGTCTGCAGTGGTCTATACGTGGTAGTATTAATTCCTACAAGTATATTGTGTCTGCAGTGGTCTATACATTGGTAGTATTAATTCCTACAAAGTATATTGTGTCTGCAGTGGTCTATCATTGGTAGTATTAATTCCTACAAGTATATTGTGTCTGCAGTGGTCTATACGTGGTAGTATTAATTCCTACAAGTATATTGTGTCTGCAGTGGTCTATACGTGGTAGTATTAATTCCTACAAGTATATTGTGTCTGCAGTGGTCTATACGTGGTAGTATTAATTCCTACAAGTATATTGTGTCTACAGTGGTCTATACGTGGTAGTATTAATTCCTACAAGTATGAATTCCTACAAGTTGTGTCTGCAGTGGTCTATACATGGTAGTATTAATTCCTACAAAAGTATATTGTGTCTGCAGTGGTCTATCACGTGGTAGTATTAATTCCTACAAGTATATTGTGTCTGCAGTGGTCTATACGTGGTAGTATTAATTCCTACAAGTATATTGTGTCTACAGTGGTCTATACGTGGTAGTATTAATTCCTACAAGTATATTGTGTCTACACTGGTCTATACGTGGTAGTATTAATTCCTACAAGTATATTGTGTCTACAGTGGTCTATACGTGGTAGTATTAATTCCTACAAGTATATTGTGTCTGCAGTGGTCTATACGTGGTAGTATTAATTCCTACAAGTATATTGTGTCTGCAGTGGTCTATACGTGGTAGTATTAATTCCTACAGGTATATTGTGTCTACAGTGTTCTATCCGAGGTAATATTAATTCCTACAAGTATATTGTGTCTGCAGTGGTCTATCATGCATGGTAGTATTAATTCCTACAAGTATATTGTGTCTGCAGTGATCTATACGTGGTAGTATTAATTCCTACAAGTATATTGTGTCTACAGTGTTCTATCCGAGGTAATATTAATTCCTACAAGTATATTGTGTCTGCAGTGATCTATACGTGGTAGTATTAATTCCTACAGGTATATTGTGTCTGCAGTGTTCTATAACGTGGTAGTACAAATTCCTACATGTGCACATTGTATCTACAGTGGTCTATACGTGGTAGTATTAATTCCTACAAGTATATTGTGTCTGCAGTGATCTATACGTGGTAGTACAAATTCCTACAGGTGCACATTGTATCTACATTGATCTATACGAGGCAATACCAATTCAAGTTGGGCTGTTAAATATTTGTAAGCATACATATTTTGTAAGGTTACATCTCTCAGTGAAAAATACCGCAAACATCCATTTTTAAAAGAATGACATTTCTAATAAACATCTGACACGTGTGATGCCGTATAGTGCCACATATTTGGGATATATATAATTATATGTATTTCGTGAAAATGTTAATTTACTGTACTGAATCATACTTGGTGATTGACTCTGTTAATGAGTACACAGTGAAAATATAAAGCCGTGTATTTCGTGAAAATGTTTATTTACTGTACATATTTAAAACAATGACATTTCCAGTAAACATCTTACCCACGTGTGCTGCCGTAAGGTGTGACATATTAGGGATATATATAATCATATGTGCTTCGTGGGACTTTGAGAATGTCTTTTTTACCGAACTGAAACATACTCTGTGATTGACTCTGTTAATGAGAACACAGTGAGTGTATAAAGCCATGTTTACTTTCCAGTGGTCAGCGTCACCAAAAGCAACACGCATCATGAGCTTTGTGGTAAAGGAACGGTGTCCAGATTGTGGTCGGACTTTCAAGAACTTATCAAACCACAAAATCTGTCAAAGCCGAGGTTCAGGGAAACATGCAAATAAACTTTCTATGGTGCAAAGGCAAGTGTGTCCTGATTGTGGTCGAGATTTTGTGAACCTCGCAAATCACAAAGTATGTCATGGAAGAGGGGCCGGAAACAGGCAGACATCTTATCCACCGGAAGCAGTTCCTTGGCAACGTGTGCCAACACCCACCGACATTGACCGTGATCACTGGAACGCTGATTTCACGCCCAGGCCACCTCACTGGGATACACCACCCCCTATTACCCCACCTTCCCGCAGGGAGAGGCGGACACCTGCCGCCACGCCCCATCCCTCCAACAGAGAGAGACAGGCACCTACCCCTACGCCCCGTCAATCCAACAGAGAGAGACAGACACCTGCCTCTACGCCCCATCACTCCAACAGAGAAAGATGGACACCTGCCCCTATGACACCACCCTTTACGCCCCAGACACCAGCCCCTACGCCAGGTCCCTTCCAAACAGAGAGACAGACATCACCCCCTACGCCCCCTCCTTCACACAGCGAGATACCGATGCCACCCTTCTACTTCCCTCTCTCCTACACAGAGAGACTGACTCCACCTCCTACTCCCCCACCTTTACCCAGAGAGGAACCAACGCCACCCCTCTACATCCCTCTCTCCCACGGAGATAGAAGGACACCTTCCCCAACCGCACCTCTCTATCTGACCATTCCAACATTCCCCCATCACGATGACAATAATCATAACCAATCACGCCTTAATCAGTCACAGGCTGGAAGACATGATCGACATGGTTCGTATTCTCAAGAACCGCAACAGTCCAGGAGACAAAGGGAACACCAGCAACGCAGGCAGCCACATCAACATCCCCATCATCCTTTCATACAAGGGGAACATCAGCATGGTATCCAAGCCGACTATCGACCACGCCCGCATGGCCGTTTCTCAGACTTGTTGGAAGGGCAACAGTAAGTTTTATGTTTAAACAAGTATCGCGTGTTATTCTGGTCAGGGTCGCAATGGCCTAAGGCAAATCACCTTTCAGAGCTGCCTCCCATATGTTTTCAAACAGGCCTTAAAGAGTTTCTGAAGATTTAATGTCAAGATCACAACAGTTCCATTCATGTAGTGCTTCAAAAGTAAAATAACATTTAAAAATATAAACAGTGGCGGTCGGCGTAACTCATTCACTTATGCATGGTCAAGGATATGATATTGTCCATTGATGAATTCTGTGAATATAGATCATGGGCTTTGGTTAGAGAGTTCAGTTACAATATGGCTAAGACACTTGGTGCATTAATAATATTGCAAGAGAAACGATGGGATGGAGCAATGGCCACTAGACGTGTTCAAATGTCTGACAGCTACCTACTTTTCTTTTTTACAACTAACGACGTACTGATATGATGAAGTACATAAGACTTTAGTATGGAAAAAATGACTGATAAAGAACGATTTCTTTATTCAAATGAGAACTCTAGCTGTGGCGAATCTTGGAACTTAGATTTTTTTATGTGTTTGTACAGATCTTTTGAGACAATTAGTTTGGGTTAATGACTTGTTCGTGTTCTATTATCCAAAATCAATTGCTGACAACCTTTTTCATAGGTCTTTATGACACATTCTAGCCCATACCATAAAGTTAGCAAACCCAAACTTGAAAAAATGAAGTAGTATAAACACAACTTTCTTAATCATCTGGATAGCATGGATGTCCCAGGTGTCTATGGCGCTGCAATTAGTTGTACAGAGTTGCGTCCCTTTGGCACGCCAGGAACCAGAGATCTTGGCTTTGAATCGTGGTTCGCATCCATCATCTCTATACATTTGTCAGTGCTATACCCATGCTTGTGTTTTTCCTAAAGTGGTAAACGCATGAATGAAGCCTACATTACGTTTCGTTTTTCTTCAACATTAAGCTGGCACGCTGTAACATAACTTTAATACTGTTCAAAGCTGTGTTGTACCGAATTCACTCACTTATTCATGCTGTTACTTTTCAAAATGATTTCAAAGGTTCTACTTTTTTAAAGAATACTTGAGGTTCAAGGGTTAGACCTTGTTCTTTATACAATTCAGTTATTCACAAGTGATAATGTCCTAGATTTAATGTCACCTCTTGGGGGAGGATGCTATTAAAGGTGATATTTGTGTTACAGAAGTTGGCGAGGTCGCAACAGTTACAACGGTAGTCTCAGTGATGAGGATGCTCTTGCTGTTGCTATTGCTGCAAGTCAGAACCCAGAGGAGGCAGATCTTGGAAGGTCATTGAGGTCAGTGTATTCTCATCCACAGAAACATTGTTTTGTTTGTTGTTTAACGCCGCACTCAGCAATATTCCAGCTATAAATAATCGAGGCTGAACCAGACAATCCAGTGATCAACAGCATCGATCAGTTGGGATACGATGACATGTGTCGACCAAGTCAGAGAGTCTGACCACCAATCCCGTTACTTACCCGTTAGTTGCTGAAGACCTTTTCTAACCAGGGTCTTCACAAGTCCGAAAAATTGAACGACATAGGGACCAGAGGTAAAAGCTTATTTCCTCACGAGGAAGACTAAGAATATGACTGCAGCTGACCTTTCTTGAACTGAATTACATGGCTAATAAGAGACACATGCCAACAAATAGGAGACACTTGCCTTCTAATAAGAGACACATGCCAACAAATAGGAGATACTTGCCTTGAAATAGGAGACACTTGCCTTCTAATAAGAGACACTTGCCTTCTAATAGGAGACACTTGCCTTCAAATAGGAGACACTTGCCTTCAAATAGGAGACACTTGCTTTCAAATAGGAGACATTTACTTTAAAAAAAGAGCCACTTGCCTTCAAATAGGAGACACTTGCCATCAAATAGGAGACACTTGCCTTCAAATAGGAGATGCTTGCCTTGTCAATAAGAGACTCTTGCCAACAAATAGGAGACACTTGCTTTGTCAATAAGAAACACTTGCCTTCAAATAGGAGACACTTGCCTTCAAATAGGAGACTCTTGCCAACAAATAGGAGACACTTGCCTTGTCAATAAGAGACTCTTGCCAACAAATAGGAGACACTTGCTTTGTCAATAAGAAACACTTGCCTTCAAATAGGAGACACTTGCCTTCAAATAGGAGACACTTGCCTTGAAATAGGAGATGCTTGCCATCAAATAAGAGACTCTTGCCTTCAAATAGGAGAGGCTTGCCTTCAAATAAGAGATGCTTGCCTTGTCAATAAGAAACTCTTGCCAACAAATAGGAGACACTTGCTTTGTCAATAAGAAACACTTGCCTTCAAATAGGAGACACTTGCCTTCAAATAGGAGATGCTTGCCTTGTCAATAAGAGACTCTTGCCAACAAATAGGAGACACTTGCCTTGTCAATAAGAAACACTTGCCTTCAAATAGGAGACACTTGCCTTTAAATAGGAGACTCTTGCCAACAAATAGGAGACACTTGCCTTGTCAATAAGAGACACTTGCCTTCAAATAGGAGATGCTTGCCAACAAATAAGAGACTCTTGCCAACAAATAGGAGACACTTGCCTTGTCAATAAGAAACACTTGCCTTGAAATAGGAGACATTTGAGAGACACTTGCCTTCAAATAGGAGATGCTTGCCAACAAATAAGAGACACTTATCAACAAATAAGAGTCACTTGCCAACAAATAGGAGACACTTACCTTCAAAAGGAGACACTTGCCTTGTCAATAAGAAACACCTGCCTTTAAATAAGCCATGTAAGCAGGACTATGAAGGGTGTCTGTATTTTGTCCTGGTAGTTCTCTCTATTGACCTGTCCTTGAATATTATGTTGGGAGTTCCTTCAGCCATAACAACACCACACATGCCGGATCCGACACCCAAACTGGCATGAAGCCTCATTCTGACATGGGCTGGACGTTCGTCTCGGCATCGTCAGATACGACAACGCCAACTTAGATAGTGCAGAGTGAATTGGAGAAACGCGAAACGGGACCAGCAATGATTGCCTCAGTCTCACCATCTGTTGGCGATAACGATTTGTGGCACAACACGTGGCCTTCGAGCATGGGTGTGAGCTGCATGTAGACGATTTCAGATCGTCTGATCCCTAACTTGTACTCAAGTTGTGTAGTGTCACGTCAATATGTTTATATGGTGTAGCACATGATTACAGCTACCGAAGCTATCTATATAATCTATATATAGTCGTTCCCTTTCTTGATAACAAGATATAAACATTTTATTGCTAGAGATGAACCGGATAGTCTCAGTGATGAGGATGCTCTTGCTGTTGCTATTGCTGCAAGTCAGAACCCAGAGGAGGCAGATCTTGGAAGGTCATTGAGGTCAGTGTATTCTCATCCACAGAAACATTGTTTTGTTTGTTGTTTAACGCCGCACTCAGCAATATTCCAGCTATAAATAATCGAGGCTGAACCAGACAATCCAGTGATCAACAGCATCGATCAGTTGGGATACGATGACATGTGTCGACCAAGTCAGAGAGCCTGACCACCAATCCCGTTACTTACCCGTTAGTTGCTGAAGACCTTTTCTAACCAGGGTCTTCACAAGTCCGAAAAATTGAACGACATAGGGACCAGAACAGAATCCTTGCGAGGTAAAAGCTTATTTCCTCACGAGGAAGACTAAGAATATGACTGGAGCTGACCTTTCTTGAACTGAATTACATGGCTAATAAGAGACACATGCCAACAAATAGGAGACACTTGCCTTCTAATAAGAGCCACTTGCCTTCAAATAGGAGACACTTGCCATCAAATAGGAGACACTTGCCTTCAAATAGGAGATGCTTGCCTTGTCAATAAGAGACTCTTGCCAACAAATAGGAGACACTTGCTTTGTCAATAAGAAACACTTGCCTTCAAATAGGAGACACTTGCCTTCAAATAGGAGACTCTTGCCAACAAATAGGAGACACTTGCCTTGTCAATAAGAGACTCTTGCCAACAAATAGGAGACACTTGCTTTGTCAATAAGAAACACTTGCCTTCAAATAGGAGACACTTGCCTTCAAATAGGAGATGCTTGCCATCAAATAAGAGACTCTTGCCTTCAAATAGGAGAGGCTTGCCTTCAAATAAGAGATGCTTGCCTTGTCAATAAGAAACTCTTGCCAACAAATAGGAGACACTTGCTTTGTCAATAAGAAACACTTGCCTTCAAATAGGAGACACTTGCCTTCAAATAGGAGATGCTTGCCTTGTCAATAAGAGACTCTTGCCAACAAATAGGAGACACTTGCCTTGTCAATAAGAAACACTTGCCTTCAAATAGGAGACACTTGCCTTCAAATAGGAGACTCTTGCCAACAAATAGGAGACACTTGCCTTGTCAATAAGAGACACTTGCCTTCAAATAGGAGATGCTTGCCAACAAATAAGAGACTCTTGCCAACAAATAGGAGACACTTGCCTTGTCAATAAGAAACACTTGCCTTCAAATAGGAGACACTTGCCTTTAAATAGGAGACTCTTGCCAACAAATAGGAGACACTTGCCTTGTCAATAAGAGACACTTGCCTTCAAATAGAGATGCTTGCCAACAAATAAGAGACTCTTGCCAACAAATAGGAGACACTTGCCTTGTCAATAAGAAACACTTGCCTTGAAATAGGAGACATTTGAGAGACACTTGCCTTCAAATAGGAGATGCTTGCCAACAAATAACAGACACTTATCAACAAATAAGAGTCACTTGCCAACAAATAGGAGACACTTACCTTCAAAAGGAGACACTTGCCTTGTCAATAAGAAACACCTGCCTTTAAATAAGCCATGTAAGCAGGACTATGAAGGGTGTCTGTATTTTGTCCTGGTAGTTCTCTCTATTGACCTGTCCTTGAATATTATGTTGGGAGTTCCTTCAGCCATAACAACACCACACATGCCGGATCCGACACCCAAACTGGCATGAAGCCTCATTCTGACATGGGCTGGACGTTCGTCTCGGCATCGTCAGATACGACAACGCCAACTTAGATAGTGCAGAGTGAATTGGAGAAACGCGAAACGGGACCAGCAATGATTGCCTCAGTCTCACCATCTGTTGGCGATAACGATTTGTGGCACAACACGTGGCCTTCGAGCATGGGTGTGAGCTGCATGTAGACGATTTCAGATCGTCTGATCCCTAACTTGTACTCAAGTTGTGTAGTGTCACGTCAATATGTTTATATGGTGAAGCACATGATTACAGCTACCGAAGCTATCTATATAATCTATATATAGTCGTCCCCTTTCTTGATAACAAGATATAAACATTTTATTGCTAGAGATGAACCGGATATCAATGCGGTACCTACTGGTTCACAACGCCTTGTCCAGGAGCATCTAAGTCGATGTATGGAGTTTGGAGCCAGCCAGATCTCCGTCAACAGGGACAACATCTGGTCCAGCAGCATGGCCTTCTTCAAGGATGTTTGTGTATCGAAGACGGCTAAACAGTTAATGGTATGAACAGATCGATATTTTACATGTCCAAATGATGATTGTTCCAGTGAATGCTTTGGCAAATGATGCAGCAGAAAAAGGCTTCACAATTTTACCCATGAAAGGAATCGAACTCTGATCTTTGACATAACTTGAACAATTATGCTACCGTACAGACCCAGATATAACTGAAACACTTAAAGGTGGCTTTAAACATGCTCACTTCTGTTTTTTCTTTAACGCCGCACTCAGCAATATTCCAGCTTTATGGCGATGGTCTGTGAGTAATCGAGTCTAGACCAGACAACCCAGTGATCAACGCCATAAACATCAATGTACTTAACTGGGATACGATGACATGTGACAACCAAGTCAGCGAGCCTGAACACCCGATCCCGTTAGTCTCCTTTTTCGACAAGCATGGGTTAATGAAGACCACTTTTTTTCATACCATTGGCGATCAATACACAATGACTCTTTATGTTCGTTTTTGTTTTGCTACATGCATTCATTTCAAGTTTATGGTACAGTTAAGGGCTGGGTAGGCTTGTCCCTTATACAATGGCGCATCCCACTTTCCGTTTCATAAACGTGTACAATGTGTAAAGTACATTACTGTTGTCGACGCATATTGATGTAAAAATATACCCATTCACTCACTCTAGTATTGACAACTCATCTCTCTAAGTAGGTGTCCCCCAGTGACTCAGGCATTAGAAATCAACGCGATAAATCCTTGTGAGAAATTTCTTGATGTCGAAGACCCTGGTTCAAAGCCTGTATCTGGTGTCCCCAGCCGTGATATTGACGGAATACTGCTAAAACGGGCGTAAAACTAACTCACTCACACACACTGTCACCTGCAAGGTCAATATTGATTTATTCCTCATATGGTAGGTGGCTTTCACTGATTCCGATGGTAGACGTGAGGAGTGTATCGACACAGGGGGACCACGTCGTGAGTATCTACGTCTGCTGCTGGAGTCCATCGTCGCCAATAGCAAGATGCTTCATGGTCAGTAATCAGTACGATTTGTTTTGTTTGTTGTTTACGATTGGTTGATTGTTGTTTAATGCCACACTCAGCAATATTCCAGCTATATGGCGGCGGTCTGTAAATAATCGAGTCTGGACCTTATCAACAAAATGAGCATCGATCTACTCAATTGGGATACGATGACATATGTCAACCAAGTCAGCAAGCCTGACCACCCAATTCTACCTCTAACGACAAGCATGGGTTGCTGAAGACCGATTCTTACACGGATCCTCACTGGTTTGTTTAACGCTGCATCATGTGCATTGAGCAGTATTCAAGCTGTATTAGGCGGTCTGTAAATAATCGAGTCTGGACCAGAGAATCCATTCATCAATCTACGCAATTGGGATACTATGTGGACAGTCTTATGACGAGAATTGGATGCTGAAGACCAAGTCTAACCCGCGTCTTTACAGGTGTCCTCAGTATGTCCTTTGGTTGGAGGGTTTTCTCGTCATGCAGGTTCAATTCCTCACATGGGTAGAATATATGAAATACTTGTCTCGTGTCCCTCGACGTATTATTGCTGACATATTACCGAGAGTGGCGTAAAACTACTCTCACTTGTTCACATATTTTGTATATTCTAACAGGTGACGAAAAACAAGGATTTCTGATTCGACCCAACATATCTGCCTATTCAAAGAAGCACTTCCGGGTCATAGGGGTCATGCTGGCCACTATAATTGCTCAAGGTGGACAACCTCCCGCCATATTTGCTCCTCCAGTTGTTGATGCTATACTGGATAAAGATGAGATGCCGTCTGTGGATCATGTGCCCGACACACGAAAGAGAGAATCTTTAAAAAAGGTAAAAGACTACTGAAGAGTTACCAGTGTCTAATGTTTCAATCAGTTTGACACTAATGTTGTGTATCGATATTGCTGAGAAGAATTTAATAATTTGATGCAAATAAAAAAGAATGATGGCAGAAGTCAATACGTGTTGACCTATGATGACTATTTAGATCACCTACTTGCATTACGGTTTCATGAATAGAATAGATCAACATTAACATAGAACAGGTCAACATTAACATAGAATGGGTCAATGCTAACATAGGACAGGTCAACACTAACATAGAACAGGTCAACACTAACATAGAACAGGTCAACTCTAACATAGAACAGGTCAATGCTAACAAAGGACAGGTCAACACTAACATAGAACAGGTCAACACTAACAGAACAGGTCAATGCTAACATAGGACAGGTCAACACTAACATAGGACAGGTCAACATGAACAGACAATGGGTAAATACTAACATAGGACAGGTCAACACTAACATATAACAGGTCAACACTAACATAGAACAGGTCAATGCTAACATAGGACAGGTCAACACTAACATAGAACAGGTCAACACTAACAGAACAAGTCAATGCTAACATAGGACAGGTCAACACTAACATAGGACAGGTCAACACTAACATAGAACGGGTCAACGCTAACATAGAACAGGTCAACATTAACATAGGACAGGTCAACATTAACATAGAACAGGTAAACACTAACATAGAACAGGTCAACTCTAACATAGAACAGGTCAATGCTAACATAGGACAGGTCAACACTAACATAGAACAGGTCAACACTAACAGAACAGGTCAATGCTAACATAGGACAGGTCAACACTAACATAGAACAGGTCAATGCTAACATAGGACAGGTCAACACTAACATAGAACAGGTCAATGCTAACATAGGACAGGTCAACACTAACATAGAACAGGTCAACACTGACATAGAACAGGTCAATGTGAACATAGAACAGGTCAACACTAACATAGAACAGGTCAACACTGACATAGAACAGGTCAACATTAACATAGAACAGGTCAACATTAACATAGAACAGGTCAACACTAACATAGAACAGGTCAACATGAACATAGAACAGGTCAACATGAACATAGAACTGGTCAATGCTAACATAGGACAGGTCAACATGAACATAGAACAGGTCAACACTGACAGAGAACAGGTCAACATGAACATAGAACGGGTCAATGCTAACATAGGACAGGTCAACACTAATATAGAACAGGTCAACACTAACATACAACAGGTCAACACTGACATAGAACAGGTCAATGCTAACATAGGACAGGTCAACATGAACATAAAACAGGTCAACACTGACATAGAACAGGTCAATGCTAACATAGAACAGGTCAACACTAACATAGAATAGTTCAACACTGACATAGAACAGGTCAACATTAACATAGAACAGGTCAACATTAACAAAGAACAGGTCAACACTAACATAGAACAGGTCAACATTAACATAGAACAGGTCAACATGAACATAGAACAGGTCAACATTAACATAGAACAGGTCAACATTAACATAGAACAGGTCAACACTGACAGAGAACAGGTCAACATGAACATAGAACGGGTCAATGCTAACATAGGACAGGTCAACATGAACATAGAACAGGTCAACACTGACAGAGAACAAGTCAACATGAACATAGAACGGGTCAATGCTAACATAGGACAGGTCAACTCTAACATAGAACGGGTCAATGCTAACATAGGACAGGTCAACACTAACATAGAACAGGTCAACACTAACATAGAACGGGTCAATGCTAACATAGGACAGGTCAACACTAACATAGAACAGGTCAATGCTAACATAGGACAGGTCAACACTAACATAGAACAGGTCAATGCTAACATAGGACAGGTCAACACTAACATAGAACAGGTCAACATGAACATAGAACATGTCAATGTGAACATAGAACAGGTCAACACTAACATAGAACAGGTCAACACTGACATAGAACAGGTCAACATTAACATAGAACAGGTCAACATTAACATAGAACAGGTCAACACTAACATAGAACAGGTCAACATTAACATAGAACAGGTCAACATGAACAAAGAACAGGTCAACATTAACACAGAACAGGTCAACATTAACATAGAACAGGTCAACACTAACATAGAACAGGTCAACATGAACATAGAACAGGAACATAGAACTGGTCAATGCTAACATAGGACAGGTCAACATGAACATAGAACAGGTCAACACTGACATAGAACAGGTCAACATGAACATAGAACGGGTCAATGCTAACATAGGAACATAGAACAGGTCAACACTAACATAGAACAGGTCAACACTGACATACAACAGGTCAATGCTAACATAGAACAGGTCAACACTAACATAGAATAGGTCAACACTGGAGGTCAACATTAACATAGAACAGGTCAACATTAACAAAGAACAGGTCAACACTAACATAGAACAGGTCAACATTAACATAGAACAGGTCAACATGAACATAGTCAACATTAAGGTCAGGTCACATTAACATAGAACAGGAACATAGAACAGGTCAACATGAACATAGAACAGGTCAACACTGACAGAGAACAGGTCAACATGAACATCAACAGAACATAGAGCGGGTCAATGCTAACATAGGACAGGTCAACATGAACATAGAACAGGTCAACACTGACAGAGAACAAGTCAACATGAACATAGAACGGGTCAATGCTAACATAGGACAGGTCAACTCTAACATAGAACAGGTCAATGCTAACATAGGACAGGTCAACACTAACATAGAACAGGTCAACACTAACATAGAACGGGTCAATGCTAACATAGGATAGGTCAACGCTAACATAGGACAGGTCAACATGAACATAGAACTGGTCAACACTAACTTAGAACAAGTCAACATGAACATAGAACAGGTCAACACTGACATAGAACAGGTCAACACTAACATCAACATTAACATAGAACAGGTCAACATTAACATAGAACAGGTCAACATTAACATAGAACAGGTCAACACTAACATAGAACAGGTCAACATGAACATAGAACAGGTCAACATGAACATAGAACAGGTCAACATTAACATAGAACAGGTCAACACTAACATAGAACAGGTCAACATGAACATAGAACAGGTCAACACTGACAGAGAACAGGTCAACATGAACATAGAACGGGTCAATGCTAAGATAGGACAGGTCAGCCTGAACATAGAACAGGTCAACACTGACAGAGAACAGGTCAACATGAACATAGAACAGGTCAACATGAATATAGAACACGTCAACACTGACATAGAACAGGTCAATGCTAACATAGGACAGGTGAACACTAACACAGAACAGGTCAACACTGACATAGAACAGGTCAACATTAACATAGAACAGGTCAACATTAACATAGAACAGGTCAACGTGAACATAGAACAGGTCAACACTGACATAGGACAGGTCAACACTGACATAGAACAGGTCAACACTGACATAGGACAGGTCAACTCTGACATAGAACAGGTCAACACTGACATAGAACAGGTCAATGCTAACATAGGAGAGGTCAACACTAACATAGAACAGGTCAACACTGACATAGAACAAGTCAACACTGACATAGAACAGGTCAACACTAACATAGAACAGGTCAACACTAACAGAACAGGTCAACATGAACATAGAACAGGTCAACACTGACATAGAACAAGTCAACACTGAACATAGAACAAGTCAACACTGACATAGAACAGGTCAAACACTGACATAGAACAAGTCAACACTGACATACAACAGGTCAACACTAACTTAGAGCAAGTCAACATGAACAAAGAACAGGTCAACACTGACATAGAACAGGTCAACACTAACACAGAACAGGTCAACACTGACATAGAACAGGTCAACACTAACATAGAACAAGTCAGCACTAACATAGAACAGGTCAGCTCTAACAAAGAACAAGTCAGCACTAACATGGAACAAGTCAGCACTAATATAGAACAGATCAACACCGACACAGAACAGGTCAACAGTAACATAGAACAGGTTAACACTGACATAGAACAAGACAGACATATTTCCTGCCAATGCTTCGGAACCTCTTTATTTTCAAATGGTAGAAGCTAAACATGCTTTTAACACCCATTTTTAAGGACAGCCAGCATGCCTAGCCAACAATTCAAAAAAAATATCCCAGGCAGCAAATATTAATTTAATTGTTTTCTGGAACAATTAAATTAACAAATTAATTCCAAGCCGCCTCAAGGAGAAGTCCAAGTAATAGTCCCAAGTATTGAATTCTTGTGTTTATCGGGGCGGTGGGGTAGCCTAGTAGTTAAAGCATTTGCTCGTCATGCCGAAGACCCGGGTTCAATTCCCGACATGGGTACAATGTGTGAAGACCATTTTTGATGTCCCCTGCCGTGATATTGCTGAAATGTACCTAAAAGCAGCGTAAAACTAAACTCATTCTTGTGTTTGTCCCAGGTGTCGGAAGCTCGCGACGAGGCTGAGCTACAGGAGGCTCTGGAGGAGTGTGACTGGAGATACGACCTGGACGGTGTCCCCTCTTATGTTACCATGGCCAGTAGAGATGAGTTCCTCAGAGGATGTGTCCAGTATTTCGTCATACTGCAGAGCAAGCCAATGCTTGACCAGCTGATTCAAGGCCTGGGTCACTGCGGGGTGAGTATGTCTTACTTCACAGGCATCAGAGTTTCAGAAAAGATTACATCACCCACAAGACAATATCCCACAACCACATGCTGCAGGTTAAGAGGCAGTAACTGGGTGGACCTCAGGTGATTGTACGCAAACATGTGGTATTGTCATTCGTGACCAACTCGTGTTATTCCGGACAAGCCTACTTGTAGGTCACGGGAAGAGGCGAGTAGTAAGAATGGTGGTATTGTCAAGGGGACTATTTTCCCTGGAAGTTGTAATGCGGTGCGCGTAATTACATGCGCAAAGTAGTGCAAAAGTGTTTCATCTTCTAAATGGGTCGTCATTGGGTAGACGGGGTTGTTTATGCCAGTTACTCAGAACAGCAGGGTTCGATTCCCATATTGGCACACCATTTATTCCAGAGTCTTTGAGTGATATAGCTTGCTCTCAAAGTGCTCCCACTCAGGTGTCACTTGATCAAACATCATGATAAATCTAGATTTTATTTTCTGTTTCTAATATTGTCAGATTCTGGATCTCATCAGAAGACACACGTTACGAGATTTGCTTGAGTATAAATCGGATGTTGAGGTCACGGCCGAAAGGGTTATGGATCTGTTGAAACCAGATGAACGTTGCCATAGCGACGAACAACAGATCCTTGAGAACCTAAGCAGATTCCTGCAGGCAGCTGAAGGTAAGATTATAGAAGTCATAGACGGGTGCCAGAGAACCAATGCTTGGTTTACCTCTTGGCACAAACTGGTGAATCCTATACTATTATGGCAAATGAAATGGTGGTAATTCACTGACTCGTCCTTGGTTAGGTGTGGTGGAGTAGCCTGATGGTAAAGCGTCCTCTGGCCACCTGGGTCCAATTCCCCACATGGGTAAAATGTGTGAAACCCATTGTTGGAATATTGCCGTAAAACCATACTCACTCACTCGTTTGGTGCCTATTTCAGATGTCCTTTGCCTTAGATCAGCGATGTTATATGGATCAAAATATTTAAGCAAGCAAACCATATCTCATTCGTACGAATATATCTTGGATATCAGAAACCAAGGCTATTCACGACTTCTGATATATATTATGGTTATAATAATTGTCTTCATCAGCCTCTTTGAAATTTGTGAATGCAAATTCTGAGACACTCCAGCAAGTCTGAAAATACACAAAGTTTATCTCCTTAATGTATAGATGTAACCATCATGAAGGACATTAATGAAATCAGCTTTCAAAGGGGCTTCTACTTAAAGTGTTAACAAAATACAGGATAACATCAGCTCTCAGTAGGATTAATGACCAAGCTGATAAATTTGGACAATTTCATGAGTTCATACAGTTTACAGCTACTGTTTCTTTTAGGGGAAATATTAACTCACATCGCTTGTTTGTTGTTTAACGCCTCACTCAGCAATAATATACCTGCTATATGATGGCAGACTGGACCCGACAATCCAGTGATCAACAGCACGAGCAAAATCTTTGCAATTTGGATACTATGATATGTGTCACATCGTTTTATTTATCTTACCAAAGGCTAATTCTAAACGATTATCTCATACTGAAAACGAAAACTATGAGACAATGCAAACATAATGTTGTCAGCTTCTCAGAAAGGCGAATCATTTAAATAACGAAATAGGATTTTTTTTGTCGAGAGTTCCAGGGTTTGAGAAGTTCAAGGTACAGTGCTGCATCTCTTTATTGCGGTATAGTTCAGCAAAAATATCGCTATAGTTATTGCAGACTTATACTTGAATTTGCGGAAATATTTAAGTGGTAGCTCTGTGGAATAATATAAGTTGTAAGTTATCGAAAATATTAAATAGGGTAAGTTTGCGAAATTATGAATGTAATCAGTTTGTAGAATTATATAGTTGAAAGTTTGCGGAAATACCAATTGGTAAGATAAGCAGAATTGTTCAAGTTGGAAGTTTGCGAAATTAGGAAATAGGCAGGTGTGATTAGGAATAGGTAGGTGTGCAGAATTAGGAAATAGGTAGGTGTGATATATAGGTAGAATTATGAATATGGTGAGTGCGGAATTAGGAAATTGGTAACTTTTAGTGTGAAGGCTAATTCTAAACGATTATCTCATACTGAAAACGAAAACTATGAGACAATGCAAACATAATGTTGTCAGCTTCTCAGAAAGGCGAATCATTTAAATAACGAAATAGGATTTTTTTTGTCGAGAGTTCCAGGGTTTGAGAAGTTCAAGGTACAGTGCTGCATCTCTTTATTGCGGTATAGTTCAGCAAAAATATCGCTATAGTTATTGCAGACTTATACTTGAATTTGCGGAAATATTTAAGTGGTAGCTCTGTGGAATAATATAAGTTGTAAGTTATCGAAAATATTAAATAGGGTAAGTTTGCGAAATTATGAATGTAATCAGTTTGTAGAATTATATAGTTGAAAGTTTGTGGAAATACCAATTGGTAAGATAAGCAGAATTGTTCAAGTTGGAAGTTTGTGAAATTAGGAAATAGGCAGGTGTGAGGAATATGGAAATAGGTAAGTATGCGGAATTAGGAAATAGGAAGGTGTGCAGAATTAGGAAATAGGTAGGTGTGATATATAGGTAGAATTATGAATATGGTGAGTGCGGAATTAGGAAATTGGTAACTTTTAGTGTGATTGTGTCCAGTTTACAGCTACTGTTTCTTTTAGGGGAAATATTAACTCACATCGCTTGTTTGTTGTTTAACGCCTCACTCAGCAATAATATACCTGCTATATGATGGCAGACTGGACCCGACAATCCAGTGATCAACAGCACGAGCAAAATCTTTGCAATTTGGATACTATGATATGTGTCACATCGTTTTATTTATCTTACCAAAGGCTAATTCTAAACGATCATCTCATACTGAAAACGAAAACTATGAGACAATGCAAACATAATGTTGTCAGCTTCTCAGAAAGGCGAATCATTTAAATAACTTAAATAGGATTTTTTTGTCGAGAGTTCCAGGGTTTGAGAAGTTCAAGGTACAGTGCTGCATCTCTTTATTGCGGTATAGTTCAGCAAAAATATCGCTATAGTTATTGCAGACTTATACTTGAATTTGCGGAAATATTTAAGTGGTAGCTCTGTGGAATAATATAAGTTGTAAGTTATCGAAAATATTAAATAGGGTAAGTTTGTGAAATTATGAATGTAATCAGTTTGTAGAATTATATAGTTGAAAGTTTGCGGAAATACCAATTGGTAAGATAAGCAGAATTGTTCAAGTTGGAAGTTTGAGAAATTAGGAAATAGGCAGGTGTGATTAGGAATAGGTAGGTGGCAGAATTAGGAAATAGGTATGATATATAGGTAGAATTATGAATATGGTGAAGGTGAATTAGAAATTGGTAACTTTTAGTGTGAAGGTGTGATTATCTCATACTGGTAGAATTATGAATATGGTGAGTCTCAGAAAGGAAATTGGTAACTTTTAGTGTGATTGTGTCCAGTTACAGCTACTGTTTCTTTTACGGGAAATATTAACTCACATCGCTTGTGATATTTAACGCCTCACTCAGCTATATACCAGCTATATGATGGCAGTCTGTAAATAATCAAGTCTGGACCCGACAATCCAGTGATCAACACCATGAGCATAAAATATACACAATCGGGATACCATGACATGTGTCACATCGTTTATCTTCCAAAGGCTAATTCTAAACGATTATCTCATACTGAAAACGAAAACTATGAGACAATGCAAACATAATGTCGTCAGCTTCTCAGAAAGGCGAATCATTTAAATAAACGAAATACGGAATATTTTATCGAGAGTCCCAGGGTTTGAGAAGTTCAAGGTACAGTGCTGCATCTCTTTATTGCGGTACATTTCAGCAAAAATATATCGGTAGTTATGCGGAATTATGCTTGAATTTGCGGAAATATTTAAGTGGTAACTCTGTGGAATAATATAAGTTGTAAGTTATCGAAAATATTAAATGGGGTAAGTTTGAATTATGAATGTAAAAAGTTTGTAGAATTATAAAAGTTGAAAGTTTGCGGAAATACCAATTGATAAGATAGAGGAATTAAAAAAGCAGAAATATTGAATGGATAAGTTTGCTGAATTATAAATGCGATAAGCGGAATTGTTAAAGTTGGAAGTTTGCAGAATTAAGTAATTAGGAAATAGGTAAGTATGCGGAATTAGGAAATAGGTAGGTGTGCGGAATTAGGAAATAGATAAGTTTGTGGAATTAAGAAATAGGTAGGTGTGCAGAATTAGGAATATGGTGAGTGCGGAATTAGGAAATTGGTAACTTTTAGTGTGATTCTGTCCAATCCGAACATTGTGACAATGCAGGTGTTGTCGAATTAACTGACGAAATGTACATATTGTGTTCATCTTCCAGGTGGCAGCTTGTGTGATGTGCTCAGGGAGAGCCAGCGTTTGACCCGAAGTCAGACCGAGTTTGCGCGGGGATTAACTCCAGCGAGACTGCTAGCGTTTGTTACTGGATGTAGTAGGGAACCAGCTGGCGGGTTCGTGCCGAAACCCAGCATTGTCTTTAACAGAGCCGCCTGGCGGCTGCCATCGGCCGCTACATGCAGTAACCAGATCCTGATCACGGTGCACCAGAACTCGCTGGAGTTCCATCGCTTTTGTCAAGCGATGATGACGTCAATGATGAACGGAGAAAACTTTACAACCGCCTAGGTTTCTTGTTATCGTCTTTAGTTTTCTCATGGAAAACTAATTTAAAAGATTTGTTGTGGTAGATATTGCACAAATAGAGATTCCTATACAACTGACTCTCACATACGGTTTACAATCTCAAAGTGTCGATTAAGAAAGCATTTCAAGAACAATACTCATTAATATGAAACAAAACATAATGTATGGCCATTTTGACTTTTTCTATGGCCATTTTGACTATTTGGTATGGCCATTTTGACTAGGGGTTGTGGCCATTTTGACTTTTTGTGAGGCCATTTTGACTAGGGTCAGTGTGGCCATTTTGACCTGTTCCTTTTGTTCCGATGCCCATACTCTACTATGCTGAACCACGTTCTGAAGCGATAGCTAAAACTATGGCATGATCGTGGCAAAATATTAAACATTTTTCTAATTTTTTGTTGATATTTCACAGGCGCGAGCTTTTTACATGTCATGACAGTAGATTACCAATTTAACTGTTTTTCCTTATCTTGACTCATGATCTTTGCTTATCTCCCTTTCCCTTTCGAATGGTAGTGGAACACTTGAATCCCTTGAAGTTCCCGAAGCGGACGTACAATACTCACCCACGAGTTACCTCCCTTCCTCTTTCCCGCGAAAACGTACCATGTGATGTGCGCAGACTTGTCACTCTCTCCCTTTTCGCCCAAGCGGATGGTTGGGCAAGCACTGGAGTCCCGTAGACGGCAATCTATCATTTGTATTTAGGCCTATTCTTCTAAATTAAGCTGTGTATGGTTTTGTTTATAATTACGATGTAGTATTTGTACAAATTTGTTGAAATTTATTGACTTTGACTCGTGTTTTCATCGTGTTGTAACCTTGTTTACAATTTATGAAATCCTGCTGTTTGTGTAGACACAGGTTGTCTCTGGCTGATCCTCACCCCCAATGTCCATCGTGTACAGATCCATGTTCATCCACCTTGCGTTGTAGCTACTGTATTGATTTAACTGAATTACAATTTAATCAATATCTGTCTTATGTTTATCGGGTGAAAAAGACATCTCTTGTCACATGTGATAAATCTGGAGATCAGCCCCAAAACCGTATGTTGCTTGCTGCTGATGTTCATAATAGTGTCGTCATGCCGAAGACCCGGGTTCGAATCCCCACATGGGTACAATTTGTGAAGCCCATTTCTGGTGTCCCCCGCCGTGATGTTGCTGGAATATTGCTTAAAGTGGCGTAAAACCAAATTCAGTCAGCCAGTCAGTCATAATAGTGATATGTTGCCTAGTACATTACAGAGCCAGTCTGCGGCAAAGGGGGCTAAGAAAAGGTCGTCAACCTCGCAACCTACGCCATCCCAGTCTAAGAAGAAGACGGTGTCCTCTTCTACTACGCAGAGAAAGTCTACGAGTACTAGATCTGAAGGCAAAACTACACGTGCTACCGCTGCTATGCAGAGATCTTTCAACGATGTGATCGTACCGCCGCATGAGAAAGACGTATTTGACGACCCCCCTATACTACTACCTGAGGTATCGATGACATCTATGATGAAGTAGATGTCAACTACTACTAGATCATCACCTATGAATGTCACAGCAGGCCAGCTTTTGGACATAAGACCTCTTACTTCGAGGACAGAAGTTGAGGCACGGAAAACAGCATCGCAGCCGATTCAACAGATGCAGAACTTCGACCCGGGGGAGTTCATGACGCAGTTCACCAACAAGATGATGGCTATGATGGAGCAGAGATTCCAGCAAGAATCAAGGAAGACCCAACAGTCTACCGACACCGTGCGCAAACCCACTGGCCTGCGCGAATCTACACCCATAAGAGCTACACCTGCAGTTGATGTTGGCGAACGTACTCCTCCGCTCCACAACCGGACGACTCCGTCATACTACGAGATAGTCAAGATGAGACGCAGTCCACGTTCGCGAACCTCTAAGAAGCCTGCCTCAATGCCTAGCCGATCAAGATCAAGATCACCACGCAGACGTTCGCGAAGGCACAGCTCACCACACAGAGGTTCGCGAAGAGGTTCCAGAGAGAGACGTTTGCAAAGGGAACGCTCCTATGACAGACGTTCGCACAGGGAGGAATCTTCAGCTGCAGGTTCGCGAACCCAGAATGAAGGTTCACGAAGGGATACAGGCTCACACAGAGATACGTCAACAAGACACAGCTCTCTGACTCAAGACACTACGGACCCCGTCTTCTCAGACTCTGAAGTAACGGCTTGGATTGCTAGCGGGTTGAGCCTGGAGTCTCCCTCTAAAGATAGGAACGAAGTTTACACCTACATGATGAAGGATGATGACTTCGACTCCATCACAATCCCACCGATCGAGCCTATATCCAGCGTACTGGACAGTCTTTGAACAGCCTTCGCGAAGGCTTCCAAGTCCTAGATGCAGCAATTACCACCTTTTAATAAGAAGAGATTCCCCCTACATCACATGGAACCATTTGTGAAGGCACCGGAGTGGGACGACAACATCAAGTTGGTAAACGATGCCAGAACTAAGGTGTATAAGGTGGATGATAAGAAGTTATCACAAGTGGATACAGCTTCTAGAAGATCTTTTTTCGGACTAGCAAGATCTAGGGCCATCAACGAAGCGTTGATACTGAAATTTCAGAATTCCACCACGGAAGAGGATAAAATGATCTACTCGGCCCTCGTCACTCAAAAGAAGGATCAGTTCTTCCTATCGGACCACCTCACATCGCTTTCGGTGGCAATCACCTTGATACGCAGACAGGGTCTACTGGCGTCCTGCTCCTGGAATGACAGATTTATGCAGCCTCTACTACGAGCTCCGTGGGAGGCGCCTACCATCTTTGGAGGTCTATTGGACGATGCAGCTAAACAAGCTACACAAGACTCCAGAGAGGTCATGATGATCAAGACCATAGACACCTTGGCCAACGTCATCCGCCATACATCCCAGAGATACAACAACAAGTCTAAGTACGCTGGGATACAGAGAGCTAAAGACAAAAAAGTACTCTAGCTCCAGAGGCGGGAAGGACTCTTTTCATCGCCCTTCAGGCAACTACAGAGGAAACTCAGGAAGAGGCCGCGGCCCCAGAGCTTCCAGAGGTACCAGACGCTGATGCCGGAGTTCGGAACGACTGGAGTCTTCCACCCCCAGCCGTTTCTGTAAAACTATCGACAGTGGGTGGACGTCTACAAGGGTACTTGAAAAATTGGGGAATTTTAGGAGACGACTACGCCTCTCAGGTACTAAGAGAAGGGTACAAAGTACAACTGAAAGATGCCCCTCCGTTAACCCTCAGCCCGATGGTCTCCAAGTATGCAGAGGATCAAGCAGACAGATTACAAGAAGCCATCAACGCCACTTCTCTCGAAAGATGCAGTTGAGATAATAGACCAGAATCATCTCACCCCAGGCTTCTATTCCCCAATTTTATAGTACCAAAGAAGAACTCCTTAGAGAAGTTCAGACTGATTTACAACATGCGCAAATTCAACAGAGACTACCTACTGAAACCAGAGAGGTTCAGCATGATCCACCTACCTCAACTGAAACAACTCGTCCGTCCAGCAGATTACATGGCCAGCATAGACTTACAGGATGAGTACCTGCACATCCCAATACATCAAGAATCAAGGAAATACCTACGATTCCTGTTCAGAGGGCAACACTACCAATGGAGCGTGCTACCGTTTGGAATATCTTCGGCCCCTATAGTCGCATACCTTCATCAACGAGGTCTACGCAATGCCTTCTACCTGGACGACGGGGATTCAGGTCCACCAAGATGCAAGTCTACTCAGACTACAACTGAACTTCACGATCAAGTTGCTCACTCAACTGGGATGGTTGGTGAACCTAAGGAAGTCAGAATTGGAACCAAAACAAGATCTACAATTCCTGGGGATAAGATTCATCGCTACAGAGAATCGAATCGTCATCCCAGAGGATCGATGGGTCAAGATACAAGCCATGATTCCACCAGCAGTCACCTCTCCGTTAACACTACGATCATGGCAAGTTCTACTGGGTCTACTAACCTCGGCGCAAGACTTGACGCACATAGGAAGGTTACAGCTAAGACCGCTACAATGGTTCCTGATAAAGCATCTGGACAGTGTCGACCCTATCCTGCTGCCCGAAAACCTCAAGAGGTATCTACTATGGTGGACTCACAGGTCGAATGTCTGCGAAAGAGCCTATTTACAAGAGCCGGCCTTCGAGACACACCTCTACGCGGATGCCTCGTTGCAAGGATGGGGGGCACATCTCAATGATCAAGTAGCGTCGGGAAAGTGGTCTCATACAGAACAAAAGTTCCACATCAATCTACTAGAGATGAAAGCAGTGATCAACGCCGTACAACTATGGTCGAGCTTGCTGAACAACAAGATGTTGATAATACTAACACAGACAACTCCACAGTGGCGTTCTCTATAAATCGGCAAGGATCCACAAGATCACCAAGCCTATTGCAGCTCACATTCCAGTTGTTCCAGATCACGCAAAAAGCAGACATCTGGACAAAGGCGTGTCACATACCCGGAGCCAAGAACGTACTAGCAGACGCTCTCTCAAGACCACTACACCCGTCACCAACAGAATGGATGCTCCATCCAGAAGCGTTTCGGAACATAAGGGAGATCCTCAAGCCTGGGCAACAGATGCACTGAGCATGTCGTGGGAAGGACTAAACGGCTACGCTTTTCCATCCCCGATACTACTGCCAAAAGTACTGATCAAGATCAAACAGACACAGACGCTACAACTGACTTTGGTCGCGCCTTACTGGCCAGCGAGAGCATGGTTTCCAGATCTACTAGAAAACCTAGGAAGTCCAGTAATCAAGCTTCCAGATTGGCCGAACCTACTGATACATCCGCACACCAAGCAAGTCCACAGAAACCCAGCAGTGTTCCAGCGACACGTGTGGACCGTATCAAAATGTGTTTGGAAAAAAGAGGATACTCCACCAGAGCAACCAAAGCAGTAACTCTAGTGTTACGCAGATCGACTCGCAACCTATACGACGAT